GATCCAAATCATATATCTGACCTTTTCCTAGAAATGACAACTGTCTACAGCCTTATTCCAACTTACACAGTTGTCATCTAAGCATAACATATATTTTATATTGTGAATGGATATGTTATTCATTGATTTTGGAATAAAATCATTGCAACTCCTTTTTACAATGATTATTCACACATCGTCTTAAGAAAAAGAACATTGGATCCTTTTAAGGTATCCATGTACCTTCTTGTTAGTGATCTAGTGATGAATATTTTAATCAGTTTAGGTAATTATTGTTTATGCTTATAACATATGGGGCATCTAGTGTATTATATATCATGGTGTACATGATTGATCTAATTACCAAAACATATAAAATATTTTCATGTGTCTTTTTCTTCTCCTCCAATGAGATAATGCATTGTCTATTAGACAAAACATCATGTGACACATGTAATAATCTTAATGTGAAATCATGCATATTAAATGTGTCAACACTACATTAATATATTTACCTAGTCTAAGGTTGAGGTGAATCAACAATCTATCTTTAAACTTTTAGGAAACCTTACCTAAGAATTTAATCAAAATCATTTCCTTAACCATGTCCTACATTTGTGTTGGAGATAATTTGTTTTGATGATTAGTATGTCACCTGCATACTATATTATAGATTAATGCAAATACTCTCACTAAACTCCTTATGTGACATTTATTAATTCAAGTTTTCATAAAATTTCATTAATAAAAGGATTCAACTCCAATAAGATTTCCCTAATCCATAATGGATTTAGATAACGTATACTACTTTTAGAATCGATATCATTTATGATCTTCTTTATCTCTCATGATACATGAGCCAATTGTCCAACAATAACTTCCTTATTGAATTGGTTCATGTTCCATTATCATAATGATATGTATTTTATGGTACTTGAATTTCTTCAAGTTCTACATCATTTTCACTGACTCCTTTAGAGACATACCATCTCTAGAGGAAGACTCCAGTTCTAATATATATATATATATATATATATATATATATATATATATATATATATATATATATATATATATATATATATATATATATATATATATATATATATATATATATATATATATATATTCCTCTAGATTGTTTTCAAGTTAACTTAATAAACTTTACAATCCAAATTTGCATAAAGATGAACAAGGTATTCTTACCTCCATATCAAATATGGTGTATCTACGATTACTTTAAATTAAACTAGTTATGAATAAGAATAATTCTAGCTAAAACCAATTTATAAAAAGAGTCACAAAGATATAATCAAACAATCTTAAATCGAACAATGTCGAACATGATACATTTTAAATAGTCATTATATTATTTATACAAGTATTTACCATAATGAACCATTTATATGATCTTAATACAATTTTCAGTTGTTTCGTTCTACTTCATTCTTGAAATCTTCTAAAACAAATTCTAACCCGTGTCACACACACAAATCCATATTACATATTACTGAGTTTGTCTATAATATTAATGAAGTGAGAGAAACAAAATTCATCTAACAAATATGTTTAGAGGTTCATATAAGTCACACATGTATACAATTAAGATATATCATATGTCTATTAATTTTAGTAAATGATTGGGAGATTAGAAATATCTTCCAAAATTATGACGGCATCTATTAAGATATATAACCAATGAGTCTAACAATCCATTCACATAGACTTTGGAGATGCATTTTAACTTATTTGAACGAAACATTAATATCATTGATATACATAAAGTTTAAATATTATTTTATCCATCCGACATTTATTATAGATGATCTTATCAAGATCGTAGAAATCAAATCTACTACTTGATTTTGTATGAAAAACACTATATGGATAATAATTACAACACTTGTACATTATCAAAACATGCACTCGTCATCTTGTCAAAACAAGACTTATAATTAATGTTTCTTTTACTAAATAGAATATAATAACAATTATTTGGCTCCATTACAAGCTCTAATATATGTCTAAGCATAGTCAATGAAACACTTTGTTCTATCATAGACGTAGATTTATTTCAATTATAGTCAATGTCATACTTATTTAAAGACTTTTCACATTCATTTAAATGTCATATCAACATCGGGTATCACATTCTCATGATGTAGAAGTAAACAATTTGACTTTATATAACAAAACATATGAAAAAAAAGTCTTACTTTCTTCTTCAACTTTGACTCTTTCGATAACTATTAGCAATTTTCTTCTTTTAACACATGGAATCATTGCCTTCCTCTAGAACTATGTTTGTCTGCCCAAATCCAAAGTAATATAAAAGGAGTATCATTCATTCTATAATTCATTTATTTAACATCATAAATTACTTCCTTTTCTTTTCAACAAGACGAGGTAGATGCATTTAAAATTCATTCATAGTCAATATAATCTACCTATTTGAGACATTCTCAAAAAGAAATTGTGACGAACTATTTAGTCTATAAGGAAATTAAAACTTTTAAATCTCAAAACTAGTTTAGATTCATTTGGATTTTTAACTAGTATAGAAAAGATCTTGAGAAGATTTACATTTCTCATATTATGTAGTTCTTATTAAGAGAAAATCTTCGAGGTTAATGATCATATCATTCTGTGTGACGACTATAAGTATAAAACATGTTATATCTAGACATTCAACTTGATTCTTTCTATAAGTATCGTTCTTCAAATCCAGGGTCGGCCCAATCAAACTAGAGGCCTCGTTCAAATTTAAAAAATAATCCCAAATCGTTTTAAAAAATACAATCATAATAATTAAAAATGACATATCAAAAATATAAATATATATTAATAAAAAAATATTTAATTATAATTATTTTAACTTTGATCAATCTCATTTTTTTAATGTATTGAATTTTTATCATAACAATTTTTTGATTTATTGAATTTTTCATAACATTGTTTATGTTTATTAATATTAATGTAAAAAAAAGTAGACATTTTAAAATCTGGGGGCCTCTTAAATTTGAGGCCCCGTGTTGTAGAGGTTGCTGCTCATGCAGAGTCGGGTTTGTTCAAATCTAGTTAAATTTGGTTGTTATGAATGGTTACTTGAGAACATACAATTTTTCTCGTGCTTGAGAATAATTATCAATTTTTGTACCAACTCATAAACCCTTTTCTAATCCTTAGGTCTTTCATAAGAATATTTCACAGTGAAATATAAAATAAAGTACAAAGGAAATTCTAATTACAAAACGTGTCAAAATATTGTATCAAAATAAATCATTTTAATAAGGACTTTTATTAAAATTCTCTTGCTATTTTTACTCAAACCAAATTGCCCTAAATATTTGATTTCGAAAATCCTATTGAAAGATTTTCTAGTGGGTTGAGATCTATATTTGACTTTTTTTTAAGTCCGTGTTAGGAAGATTAAACAAAATTATGTTATTTAGGTAGGAACTCTTTTGTATCTAATACAACTCTCGAATTTTATCAGTTGAGTGAATAACTCCTTATTCTAATCTATCATATGGATTATTCCCAACCCTCTCTTCTAAACATATATAATCTTATTATAATTAGTTTGGTTAAGTCAAAACCCAAAAATTTAACAATTAGATATTACAATCATTCCATAGGACCTTACTAATACAAAACATGACTTTGCAATAGGCGAAACCTACATTATTCGATACTAGTCTTGATGAGTGCTAAATTTTAGAAAACGATTAACTTAATATTTATTTGAAGAGATTTTTATTAAATTTGATCTCACTGAGTAGTGTATCCAATACATGTGCATACAAACATACAGTTCATGCATCACACACATAAATTAATAAAATTTGTTAAATCAATTATGACCACCTAAAGTGCAAGAAATAAATAAACTATTTTATTATAATTCTTTAACTTATAAAGAAGCTTCTCAAATATCTCCAGTGACATCATTGTTTGGCGTTGTCTTCTCTTCAACTCTTGAATTCGTACAATTATAATATTTAAATAACTAAAATAAAACTAAAAGGCACGACACATATGTCGTATTTAAATGAAATAAATCATGATACATATGTTGTATTAAAATAGAATAAATTCCAAAATCTAAGGTCATAACTGTATATCTAATATATAATATTAAATAATTCAAATAAAATTAATTTAAAAATACTACAACAAATAACACTTTTCATGACTAAGCTTACACCTCAAACAATGAAAAAACGAGGATATAGGTCTTGAGAGCGCTATGTTGTATTATGTTTTCTTGATAAAAAATATTAGAACTCGGATATTTAATATAATCGAGGTAAGGTAGCAATAAGGGAGCTCGCTTCGACACCCACTTCCTGCATTTTATGTTTTTTTTTCAATTGTTTAGTAGATATTTCTTACTTGGCGCCTTTACAATTTCCATTATTATTATTTTTATTTGTTCCATTAGTATTTACCTCGGCTATAGGATCCAACTGAGATGTAATATATTTTGCATGAATAATTTCATAATACTAATTTCAAAATCTTATTTTAATATTTTATTTGATATATTTTAACCCCTCAGTTTTCCTAAATATCCGACGTGATATATCTTTTAAATGAATTCCCAGAATATGGCGCTATGAATTTATTTTTATATTTTATATTTTTAATAAAACAACCACGCGAGTTTTTGTGTAAAACTGAAATGGAACTTATTTTGCATAAAATACTTCATAGAACTATCTAGCTAGTTTCTAACTTTTCGTTTACCTATCAACATTCAAACATCAGTTTGTCACTCTCATTTTGCAAAAAAACCCTAGGCGATATCAAAACTCTTCCAACATATATTCATAAAACATTATTTTCGCAATAGCTTTGTTCTTCACTGAATCATTAGTTTGTATATTCATCAACATTAATTTTTCACTTTGTCTATTGATCATTTTGTTTAGGGTTTCTTCGTTACTTTTTCTATTGATAACTTTGTTTCTATGATTTTTCATTTGTGAAATGTTACTGTTTGATTCATCTTGATAGTCATGGTCGATTCGATAAGCACCTCCCATACAACATTTGCTGCAAACTCTGTTAATACACAAAGTCGTAAAATAAAAACTAGAGGTGCCACTATGTATAAAGAGGTGAAAAAAGCAAATGAATTTGGTATTCAATACTCGATTAGAGTTGATGCAGAAACCGGCAAGGTTAAAGGTGAACATGCTGATGATTTTTTGGGTTACATTGTGTTACAAGATAAAAGTAAAATGAGTATTTTGATAAATAGTTGGCATGACATTGACGATGAATTTGAAAACAACATATGGACCTATATTACGGTATTTATCTTGTATCCTATCATTTGTTTTATATGTATATATTTTTTGTGCAATACTAATAACATCTCTATTGTGTAAACATAAGATCACTTCATTGTTACTCCTGATGATAAGTACGCGAAAAAGAAAATGCTTGCTTATTGTGGTGAGCGTTGGAGGGGGTTTAAGACACAGCTCACCCAAGACTATATTAAAAGTCATAAAGAACCGCTTCTATGTGACGTATATTCATTTATTGATAGAGCTACTTGAGAGAAATTGTAGAGTCTCGCAAAACTCCCGACTTCTTGGCAAAGAGCCAAAAAGGAAAGGAAAATCGAGCTAGAAATATTTATCCATATAGGTTGTCTCGTGGAGGATATCAAAGAATTGAAAAAAAATTGATGGACGGAAAAAGAAAAACAATGGAAGAAGAGGTGGGAGATTCTATAAGTCTTGATCGAAGTCTATCTCCACCATCATGCCACGAGAAATGGAAGAGGGCACACCAAAGAAAATATGGCAAGTACACATCGGATGTTACGTGCGAAGTGGCTCAAAGTATTGTAAGTAGATACTTTTTTCAAGAATATTTATTTTAGTTAAATCAATTTGGTAAAGATAAAATTTAATGTGTTATAGGATGATCTTGTTGAAAAAATCAAATCCGGCCTCTTCACTTCACAAGGTAGTCATGACATCTTGGTAGAAGCGATTGGAACTGAGAAGTTGTTGCAAACGACGCAGGATAGTGTCTATATTTTGTTGTTATTATTGTCTGTGTATCTCTATTTTGGATTGTATTTATGTTGTTTTTATGATGGATAAATTGAGTTCATTGGGTATATTCAGCCACATAAATTCAAATCAGATGGAAATTCGAGAGAATGTAGTTGAGAAAGTTATGAGTGGTACAAGCGCGACACATAGTTTTTCTGCCAACCAGGATAGTGTTGAACTCGCACCACTAAATCAAGATAGCCTTCGGAGACTATAGATGATGATGTCGAGTATTGAACCCATTATTATTGCTATTAAATTAAGTCATGATCCACAGAAGTCGTTGTTTCTTAACAAGACTTCGTTACATGAATTTTTGAAGGGAGATGAGGAACTAGACGAGTCCATATTGCAAATTTGGTGCTTGTAAGTATACTTTTATGTTGATTTCTATTTATATGCATACATTCTTGTACTTTAACATAAAGATTTGACCTTACAAGTACATCCACGAGTTCTGCTCAGAAAGGAACCTTCTAAACAAATATTGTATCTTAGATGCTGCGAAGATTTCTCTTACTCGTGATTCTCCAGATCACGAAGTCAGAATTTACTCACAAGATAAATTTATGGAGAGAGGGGGCATTAAAGATTATTATTTGGCCCATTTTTTACCGCGAGTAAGTTTTATTAATTTGTGTTTTCATTTATAAATCAATTTTATCCATATTATTAATTATTCTGAATGTTTATGCAGCCGACATTGGCAACTACTTGTCATATGTCCCAAGAAAAATAGTATATTTGTGTTTTTCTTGGTGCACTCGACACTATCCGATGTTGGGATAAACTCTTTGAGTGGGTAAGTTGTATTATTTATTATACTCAAATTTAACTTTAGAATTGAATAATTTTTATTCATGTTTAATTTTAACCTACACGTGTAAAGCGATGAAGGAATATAATGCACGAAAAAGAAATCTTATGGTTAAAAATCCAAACTTTTATTACCCAGAGTAAGTATAGTCATTGTGTTATTTGACATTATATTAAATGTGTGTATTAGTGTGACACTAATAAATAAAAATTATTTGTAGTGGCGAAAACAAAACGACGCCCATTCTTATGGATATTATTTTATGAGATATATGCTCCATATTGTCTTGATGGTGTTACACAAGAATGGATGAAGAATAAGGTATTAGCTTAATCCATGTTATGTATACTTCTTAAACTAATTTTGTTGTTTTTAACTTATCATAGTTTAAATTTTGTTCTAATTGTAGGAGCTTAGCAACCAAAAACCATATTCAAAAGAGGAAATTGATGGCATCTGATCACGTTGCGTCAATGTTTTCTTATCTCATTATGAAGCTCAAAAACAAGAACAATAGTTTCTATTGGTTTCTATAATATTATTTTGTATACAAACAAAGGTTTTCTTATTTTGTCTTGATGATAAAAATGTTAATTTTCACATTTGGTTTGAAATGATATATGATATTTTGTTACATATTTTGTAGTTTTTGTGTAAAAAATAATATTGGCAGGCTAATAGATTTATTATAATGATATCATACATGCCAGTGAAAATTATACATGCAAAAAATGACACAAGGGGCCAATAAAATTGATAAATATAGCCAAAAGACTTCATATTAAACCCCTCGATTTTATTTAAAACCAAGATAATTGAATACCTTATTACCTCGGAATATAAACAAAACTGATAGCTATATGAAACACGCAACAAAATGTAGAAAATAAAAATATGCAATTAAGTGGAGACATTTCAATATAAACCTCGGTTTTTTAAATATTGTGGTGTTAAGTGGAGACTTTTCATGACTACCTTAGTAACCTCGTCTGGGTTGATGAGGTAAAACGAATTTCGCGACCGATGTTATAAGCGTTATTTGTAGTAGTTAAATAAATAGATTTATCAATTTATAAATATTGACGCATCAACACTTGATGCTTTTTACAAACTATAAAGTCACAACTCTTGCATTGTCACAAACTTTAATGCAAACATGTTCATACCATCAAAACATAATGATTCAATATTTAATATGACTAGTCGAGTGTCATTGCTTCACCATATAAATGTCGGATGTCAACGTAGAATGAACATTAATCATTCAAATGCTTAACCATATTAATCGAATAGATGAAAATAAAACAGCATATCAAATACATAATGGTCGCACTAGAATAATTTATATCTTATATAAATCGATCAATCATATGTGTATCAATTATGAATGATCAAAGTATCGTTGTTTCATCATACAACCGCTGAATTTCGAAACATAGTCAACAATGAACATCTAAATTATACAAAATATGAAGTCCATATTTAATATTAAATGATAAACACTTTTTTATTTTAATAATAAACTTCTTTTATTTAATAATAATAATAATAATAATAATAATAATAATAATAATAATAATAATAATAATAATAATAATAATATATATGATACATCATGCAATGTAGGCAAGTTTCACTTTATCCTCTGTAATATTTTTTTTAGATTCCCCCTAACCGTATAATTTGATTACTGAATCTGGGGGTAAATAAAAAAAATATTACAAAGGGGGTAACTTGTGCATTTAAGGAGCAAAAGACACAGAATTTTAACATTTCAAAGGGAGGTCTAAAATATTTTTTACAGGGTAAATCGAATCTCACCTATATTACAGGAGTATTATATATTTAACCCCAATAATAATAATAACAATAATAATCAACCATCTATCTAAGAAATACAAATGCTTATAAACTTCCCACATTATCCTTTTGTTACAAAAAAATCACCCTTGCAAATATCCAAAAAAGTAATTAATTAATACAAGAAAAAACTCTTTCATCCAATTACTTATCAATATTACTGAGTTTCCACCTCATCAACTTTATTTTTAAATTCAAATTTTCCCCCTTTCATTTATTATAAATATCACTAAATTAACTTTCCGATCTTCTTCTAACTTTTTCCAAAATACAATAAAATATATATATACAATAAAATATATATATATATATATATATATATATATATATATATATATATATATATATATATATATATATATATATATATATATATATATATATATATATATATATATATATATATATATATATATATATATATATATATATATATATATATATATATATATATATATATATATATATATATATATATATATATATATATATATATATATATATATATATATATATATATATATATATATATATATATATATATATATATATATATATATATATATATTAGTTTTCCTCTTGTTTTGATATGAGTATTTATATTAAAATATTTATATTAGTACCTAATCATTATATTATTTATTAATAGTTCGATTTTATTATTTAATTTAATATATATAGTCATTCTACTTTTTATTCATCTTTTATTAGTTTGAATGAAAAGAGAAAAATTACAATATAAAAAAACAATAATGATAGATCTGAGAATAAAAATTCACGAGTCTTAAAATTCTATATCTGATAAGCTTAATCCATCAATAGAACTACACATGAATATAATATGATAATAAAATATTTCATCTCACGAATCACTATCAATACAATATCTATTTTATTTTAATTATAAATTTTCTTTATTTGAAAGTCAAAAAGTTTATTTTTAAATGTCAAAATTTTCTTTTTTTTTTCTTCTTGTTTTGCCATCTCTCTAATTCTTTTTTATATAATTATTTAATACAATTGAATTTATATGATCATTGTTTATTTTACAATTACTTAATTCATTTTAAATTTACATGCACATCTAAATATATTGTATACTATGTAAAATAAAATCATTCGTGCAAACCCACAAGTATCTTAGTAATAATATTAATATTAATAATAAAAAATAACTATTGAACATGACTCTCATTAATTATAAATTAACAAAATAAGAATCATGGAAAGCTATGCTACTATACATATTTGGACTTCGGCACTGGAAAACCGAAACTTATGTGAAGCATGTAAGGAAAACATAATCCACGTATAGCATTGAAGAAATATTTTTGGTTGTTTGTGTCATACTTTGTGGGTTCAAAGAACCACATTGTATCTAAGAAATTCATAAGCGATTTTTATCAATATTACTCAAATATGATGATTACAAATAAGCAATCTAGAATTGACTCGACTAATTTATATTATTTTATTTGTAAAAAGAAAAATAATGTTTTATGTGTAAAAAAAAATTCACTTTTTCATGAGAAATAATATTTTAATAATAAGTAATATGTTCTTGTGATTGCTTATTTGGGAAACATTTCTTATTTTCAAGCAATCTAGAGTGCCAACTAAGCAAACTCCAATGACAAATTAAAATAAGCCACATAGCTTATGGTTAAGCAATAAACAAGCAATCATCCATTAGAGGTGCTCTTAGTCATTCAATAAGGCAAAAAAATTTGACATTTAATCTCATAAAAATAAATTATCATACGCAATTCATTTCAAAACACAAGCATGCATAATTCATTTCAAAACACAAGCATACATAGGAGTCATGACTAAAGAATTAATCTTTCTTCTCTCCAAGAAAGCCCGTGCATCTTCTTGATCCTCTGATTCTTTGTCCCCTTCTCCTCCTCTTTTCAATCGGCCCTTGTCCAGTCCGGCATGTTCCATTTAGGTGTTGTTTTTTACCTTATTCTTCCACCGAAGGGCCAATGGAAGTAAAGCCCAAAAAAATATTACAATGATTATGAAACCTAATGGTGACATCTCCAAAAAAGAGGAATCGGATATTCAAGATACCCTCAACAACTCTTTGAAGGCTCAATTTTGCACAAATAACATTATCCTTTAAGAGGACTGTTTCAATACATACCATTCTAAGATGTCTGAAGAGATGAAACTAGACCTAGAAAGACCCTACATTGAATGAAGAGGAAGTTAACATAGATATTAGAAACCTGAAAGGCAATGCTTCTCCTAGCCCTGATGGAATCCCTGCCAGTTTTTACCAAACTATTGGCACATTATAGGAAAAGAAACTAGAAGGCTATTCTTATAGTTCTTAATTTAAATGAGAACTCGAAAAATCTTAACAACACTTTTATTAGCATGATCCCTAAGAAGAAAAACTCCACTAGCCCAAAGGATTTTAGACCCATCGCCCTATGCAATGTAATCATAAAAATCATAACCAAAATGATTTTTAATAGAATAAAACCTATTCTCCCACATATTATTAGTGCCAACCAAAGTGTATTTGTGCAACAAAGGCTCATAACTGATAACACTATGATAGCCTTTGAGATCTTCAACCACATCCACAACGCGACCAAAAGAAATAAAGGGCTCGTAGGTATCAAACTTAATATGGAGAAAGCTTATGACAGATTGGAATTGAACTTCATTGAAAAACTCTTATCACTATTGGTTTCCCTATGAAGACTATCAACACCATCATGAAGTGCATCAACATTAATTCCATATCTATCATGATAACCGCTACCCTACATAGGAGTTTACTCCTACCCGGGGAATGAGACAGGGAGACCCTCTCTCTTTATATTATTATTTTATGTGCAGATATATTTTCTAATCTCATTAACACGGATCATGCTAATAACACTTTCTCAGGGATTAAAATTGCTAAAAATGCTCCTCATATGACCCATCTATTTTTCTTTGATGACAACTAAATTTTTTGTAAAGCATAAGAAAAAGAAGCCAATATTGTGCTCAACATAATCAATACCTACCGGGACAATGCAAGGCAGCAAATAAACTTCATCAAATCAGAGCTAATGTTCACTAAAGGGACTCAGCAATACAAACAAGACAATTTTCAAAACATTATGGACATAACTAAAGTGGACAACATAAACAACTACCTGGGTTTACCTACTCACATAGAGAAATCTAAAAATCTTAGTTTCAACTATATTTTGAAGAGTCAGAGCTAAATTGAATAATTGGATGGACAACAAAATCTCCTTCACTGGAAGGGCTACACTCATAAAAGCAGTTATGCAAGCTACTCCTACCTATGTCATGAGTTCTTCCTTGATTCATAAAGAACTCTGCAAGAAAATAGAAAGTCTTATGGCCAACTATTGGTGGGGGGAGAAAAAAAACTCACTGGATAAAGTGGAAAATGATTTGCATACCCAAACTGCAAGGGGGTTTGGGGTTCAGAAGTTTCGATGAATTCAACAAAGCCCTCCTGGTTACAAATATGGAGACTTCATGTAGATCCTAATACTCTGGTGGCTAATGTCATTAAAGCCAAGAACCACCCTCAGGAAGATGTTCTGAATGCTAAAGTTGGAAACAAACCAAGTTACCTATTGAGAAGTCTTCAAGGCAGTATCGAGCATGTTAAGAAAGGTAGTTGTTGGAACATTAGGAATGGTACTATAAAGTCAACATCTAGGATGATAATTAGATTTCAAATCACCATAGAAATAAATTACTCTCTAAGAAGATGGTATATATTAACATCTCTAAAATGGGGGAGTTAATAAGAAATGACACTGGGACATGGAACATTGAGATCCTTAGCAATAATTTCATGCATCAAGACATAGACTCTATACTAGAAATCACTCTCTATAACTTAGAGGAGGATGAATGGTTAGGGTGGAAGGCTAATAAAGATTGGCACTACAATATTAAATCCAACTATCATAGTATTTATACCTGGAGCAACAACAACCTGATTGATGTTTCTGACATAAACAAGGAAGCTCGGGTTTGGAAGAAGCTTTGGAAAGCTAAAGCTACTCCTAGGAAAATCATCCTAGTTTGGAGATTTCTCAATGACATCATTTCTGTCAGAGAATACCTCAATGCTAAGAACATCACTAAGGACATCTTGTGCCCTAGATGCAACTCTAAGATGGAAACTATAGACCAATGTTTTAGTGGCGGACAAAGGGTCCAACATCTTTGGTACGGATCCCAACTTAACCATAAGTTCACATCTAATACCTATAACTATTTCAATAGTTGGAGCAGACACAACATTCCCATTATGCCTGAAGAGACCCTAAACAGATGCATAAACATCATAGACAGTATATGGAAAACTTGAAATAACATTATCTTTGACCAAAAGGACATACGTGTGACTGAAGAAATTCTGCAGGCTAAGAATAACAACATCTATATAGCTCTTTCTGTCTTGAACAAAAGCAGAAAAGCTAACAAGACCACCCCTAACAATAATCAGAAGAAAAAGGTTAACAAGGAAAACAACATCAGCACATCAGAAAACAACAATCACAAAAGGAATAGAGATAACATGGAAAGGAAGAAAGACAACAATAAAGTTCAGGAAGCCCATCAATCTGAAAACAAACAAAAGAGGCACATATTGCGTATCACCCAAATAAAGAATAAAATCATAGGAAACCAAGACAACGCTGAACCAACTACTAATAATAGACCGGAGCTCAACATGGTCCACAAGAACAACAACAACTACCTGCAATCTCAAGCAAGAAAAAGCAACAGTATCAGTGATAGAAAAAAAACTGCAACAATAACCAAAAAGGAAAAAAATCCAATGAAGGACATACAGTTTGAGATTAAAGAGTTACATACCCAAAGATTTATGAATATGTGTAAAGGTTCGGGATCAACTTCGAAGCAAAAAGACATCAAGTGCGGGATGCACCCCTGTAGAAACCCTAAATCCCAGAACAACATCAGAAGCATCAATCAACAAGGAAAGGTTACAAACAACCAAAAAAGACAAAAGGATAATGAAGGAAGCACTTACTCGAAGGAGAAAACCAACATGCAGAATAGCAAGGAGAAGCACCCGAAGATAAAAAGAAGAAGCAACACATCAAACCCTAGAAATTTCGAGATACAACATCAAAACATCAACAACACATAAGAAGACAACAATCACGAACCATGATAAGAACAAGTTGAATAGACTTCAAAATGATAAAACTCATACCATCGACATGCAAAAGAAAGGAGAGTCCAACGACCATCAGGAATGGATTACTTGCTGGTCAGATGCTAGTTTAGCTATTGAAGGAATATGAGGTTTGAGCGCCATCTTTACCAACATCGAAGGCAGAAGAATAAACTCATTGACGAAAAGAATGAAGGGATCAAAGTACCCCATGGAAGCGGAAGCGGTGACGTTATGGATCATGGTGGAGGCTACGCTGAAGGAGGGTTGCTTGAAGATCAATTTCAAATTTGATAGCTTAAACCTTTTTGAGCTCATGCGTAACACGGTGGGAGAACTACCTTGGGTGTTTTGCGTTTGATCGCAATTGTGTGGATAGCAAGAGTCACAGTCGACTTTTCTTTTATCCAAAAGGAAAGGCTGAAAAGAACAAGAAAGACCTTTAGAGATGTTTTCTTGAGTTTGGGGGGTAGATTATGAAAAGGGAAGGTATTAGCATCCTTTCTATCCGTAGTTATCTACGGTCTATTAGTTTATTACTAGATCACTTTCTTTTGTTTGAATATGCTTGTGGTATGGGTTTTGAAAGTATTTTGAAAATGTCTTTGTAATGGTTCTCGTTTCTATAAGAACGCGTACAAAGTTTTTTTTCGAAAATAGTTCAAAGAGGTGTTTGTGGAATGTGTTTTTGAAAGTGATTTTGAAAATGTTTCTTCTTTGTAATGGCTCTCGTTTCTATAAGAATGCGTACAAAGTGTTTGTCTTTTGAAAATGTTTCAAGATGAAAGTGTTGGTGTAAAAAATATTTTTGTTGTGAGCAAGCAAGCAACTAGGAGCAATCTACCTACTCAAAAGGTCTTAGATGTTCTTTTCATCCTCCTTTAGATGTTTCTATCTTACCATTGTTTTGGTAAGAAGACCCGTCGTTGGATTTGAAGGGACAGGCGCATGACGTTTGTGTAGTCATAGAAGGAAACCTATGGGACGTTTTAGCAATATCGTTTAGGGACGAGATCATTTACCGAAGGCAACATTGAGGGTCATCGAGGAACTACGATCTTTTATCGAGGGTCCTTGCTAAAATGCCCATATTCGAGGAACATGACTATTTTCCGAAAGGCAACAAAGAGGGATTACCCTAAGGGTGTTAGTGTGTGTGATCGGTGGATCTGGAACTGACTGTTTAACGCTGGTTCGCGAAATGTCGCGGTAAGCAAGAGTCGCCACCGTCTTTTATTTTCTCCAAATGGAAAGGACAAAAGCACAGAAAAATTCCTTAATAGAGATTGCTCTCGGTTCGGGAGGTAGGTTATAGAAAGGGAAGGTGTTAGCACCCTTTCTATCCATGGTTATCCATGGGCTCTTAGATACTTGCTCATTGTGTTTTCAAAAATGGTTTGTTTGCTTTTCAACTGTGGGTTTTAAAAGTTTCTTTGAAAATTTCAGTTTGACTCTTGTATCGGTCCTCAAGAGTGTTTGAAAAATTGCTTTCGAAAGCTTTTTGAAAAGGTGTCGGTGTGAAAAGTATTTTTGATTTGTTTCGAAATTAGAGCAAGTATCCACGAGAACCTACCTACCCTAAGGAATTCGTCTGTGTAAATGTCCTTTAAAGTAGTGCCATCCCACCATTGAGAGGTAGGTAGCACCACCGTTGGAGGTGTTCGGGTCAATTCGAGGTTCGGGACATGGTGATCACCAGAGCAATGGGAAGACACCTTAGAAGCTACCCTCATGCAAGGTTCCCGGATCATGAGGACTTACTAAGACATCCTCTACTCGACGATCACCTTTCGAGGCAAGGCAACAGTGAGGCGTACCCTAGGGGTGGTGTGTGATTTGTGTATCGTTTTCATTTATTTTTGTCTTTTCATGGTATAGGTGATCTACGCGTTTGTTTTTATTTATTGTCATTCATTCTTGCATGCATTTATTTAATAGTTAAAAAGATGCGGAAATTAAAAGTTCTAAACTATTACAAAGGCGCGGGTCCACATCGCCAAAAGTTTCTCGAACCCGATTTGACAGAAAATAAACGAAAAAAAGTAAATAAAGAATTAAAAGGGCGAGAAATTATTTACAAGGCTTCGGGAGAGATACATAAATATTTAAGCGAAATAAAATAAAAATGCGAATTAATAAGAAATCGAAACGAGGGCGTTGGACCCTTTTTTGCAACGTTAAAGTAATGAAGAATTAATTAAAATTAAAAGAAAGAAAGAACTTGTTTTTTTGGTATTTTTTAATGTTCTAGGATTTAATATATAAAAAAAAGAATTAACTAAAATTAAAATAAGATGTAAACCCTAATTCTAGTGGCTTTTAATTTATTAAAAAAATATTGAAGTTTTTAACCTAAAATTAATCCTAATTTTTACATGCAATTTAATTATAAAAATAAATAATATTAGATATTTGATTATCATGAAAGAAAAATAAAAGATGAAACTTAATTAAACCTAATTCTACATTTTTTAGATTTTTATTAAAAGTATTAAAATTAAAACCTAATTTACACTAAGTTTAATTACATACAAATTTATTTAAGAAAATACTAAAATAAAAATTATTTATTGTTTTAACTCTTTTCTGATTTTTTATGATATTTTATATTTTGTGAAAATAATTAATTAACTAAACAAATAATAGTTAAAAGAAAAATAGAAATAATGAATAAATAAAAAACATAGCAAACCTAGGGGGTTCAGACCCCAAATAGGAGGTGAGTCTTTAGAAATTCTGGCCCATTAAGACATTGGTCCGTTTGACTTTGGCATTAGCATGTGATGCATTGACTGGGACTTATCGTATACTTCAATCCATGGCCTTTGATCTGATGCAGCTGGACGCGTGGACGTTGGATTTGGAAGGAGTATGATGGTCCTTGGTATTGAATCTGCATGGGATTGTAAATTGAAAAATAATATTGAAACAATGAAGACCTGGGGCTCGAACCCAGGTCTTGGACGTTAACACACACATGCCTTGCCAGTTGTTCTAGACGCGCTTTCTGTAATTTAAACAACAAACAAATAATATGAAATAACAATGGTCAGTGGGCTCTAGCACGCGCGAAGATTTGAATCTTCCAATCACCGCTCCCCACGTTATCGTCTTCCTCGCGTGTTTTTTATTTTCCTGAAACAAAAGAAACATAGGCAACGGTTTTCACGCGTTGCCTAAGATAACATATCAAAAAATAGCGATTAGCCCTAGGGGCTCTATAAATTAGGCGCGAGGGTAGGTTTGAGATCGTCCAGATGCGCTGAAGTGAATGGTCTAATTCATATGCTCCAATTTTTCCTTGTTTCAAAATCCCCAATTTAAGGTCCTGTAAACCCTAAAATTCAATAATGGTGAAATCGTCTATAGCTTGCAAAAATTCAATTAAACGCATGGGTTAGCTTTAGAATCATACCAGGAAAATGAATCAATAATTAAAATGCCATGAAAATGCATAGATTTGAAAACACGATTATGAATTTTTCATGAGATATTTCAAGTTCTGTATACCAATTCCTTAAGCTTTGAAGAATGTTCTTGATTGGGAAACGTTCAGTGATGCTTGAGGAAGCTAATGAGATAAAAATCGTGTCTTGAATCAACCTGCAAAGATGTTTTCAGTTATGAGTTTTTTTGCAAAAAAATCCAATTTGTGAATGGAGTTTTCTGAGCAGCTGCGTGTGTAAACACATTAAGGTTGTGATCCTGGCATATGTAGTAATGAATTAGGTTAAGAAAATTGATCAAGATCCCTTGCAATGATGGTTTTGAAGATTTGATTTTCAAGCTTTGTTTTTTCAATCTTTTCCATGCATTTTTGTATCAATTATGATCTAATCAATCCAAATCTTTCCTTATTTAGCCAGGCACGAGATATTGATGATATAATGTGCACAAAAAGATTGAAAAAATTAGGTTAAGCATTTTTCATATATTTATTTTAATTTAAATGAATTATTATTAATAAAAATTCAAATAAATAAATAAAAAAATGAATAAAACTTCCCTTTGGGCCAAGTGGTCGTGCACATGCTTGGGATGATGAATTGTGGAAGAAAAATGGGCCCATTAGCAATTTTCGGTCATTTGAATCAATGTTGACTTTTCAAAATATCCAAAAATTTCCCAACTTCCACAAGGCATAACTTGCTCAATATTTAAGCTTTGCTCATGTTCTTGGACATTTTGGAAAGGTCTTTGAGTCCTCTAACCAATGCCTTTGGTCCCATGTCATTTTGATTTACCAATCTCAAATTATGGCCTTTGACTTAAAGTCCCTTTTTGTTGACTTTTGAAAATGACCTATAATGTTGAAATTGATAACTTTTTGTGAGAGCATTTCTTGGACTTGAAGTATGAAGATGAGTTGTAGGAAATGTCTTTCTCTTAAAAATGAGCTTTGGATGGAATTTTTCTGATAATCCATGTGAAAGTTATGCCCTGGTCAATTTACAGTTGACTTTTTCAACTGTCCAAATAAGGAAACTTTTGCATCTTGATGATTTTTGAGCCAAATTTTGAGAATCATGATCAAGCATTGATAAAATGATGTTTGTGGCTTTAAAATGATATGTTGACCAAAAATTTGAACTTTTGACTGTCAAATGACCATTTTGCCCCTACAGTTGACTGTAGTGCAATTAGGTTTTTGACTGTGCAATTTTGTGCTGAAAGTCTTGAAACTTGATATGAGGATACTTGACAATATTTTTAGGCATGTGAGACTTGATTGGACCTTTGGAAACTTCATTTTCTTGATCAGAACACAAACCCTAATTTTGACTGCTTAGGAGGCTCTTGTACTGTGCAACCCTTGGGGAATCTTGAAGCATGACTTGGCAAATCTTTGAAGAATATGGGAGGGAAAATTTTGGGGTACAACAGTGTGTAAGTGTGTTTGATTTACATGCATTTTGTCTTGATTAGGGTTACCTATTTGTTGATTTTATGTCTTGCCATACACACCCTAATTATTAGCATTTATACTTGAAAATAATAAATTGCGGAAATGTAAAGGTCCTACGCTATTACATCATTTAGGGATGGGGGTACAAATTTATAAATTGGGGGTTGCAAGAATTTAAATCCTATTTAACTATTACAACCATATTGAAATGTACAATATAAGAAGAAAAAAGACTTGTTTTGAAAGTGGTTTTTTGTCTTAATGAATAAATAAAAAATAAAAAAATTAATTAATAAAAAGGAAACACTTTTATGTCTTTTTTATATTAATAAAAAGA